GATGTTGTTACTGTTGATGTTGTTACTGTTGCTGCTGTTACTGTTGCTGCTGTTACTGTTGATGTTGTTACTGTTGCTGCTGTTACTGTTGCTGCTGTTACTGTTGATGTTGTTACTGTTGCTGCTGTTACTGTTGCTGCTGTTACTGTTGCTGATGTTACTGTTGATGCTGTTACTGTTGATGCTGTTACTGTTGATGCTGTTACTGTTGCTGCTGCTACTGTTGCTGCTGTTACTGTTACTGCTGTTACTGTTGCTGCTGTTACTGTTGCTGCTGTTACTGTTGCTGTTGTTACTGTTGCTGCTGTTACTGTGATGCTGTTACTGTTGCTGCTGTTACTGTTGCTGCTGTTACTGTGATGCTGTTACTGTTGTTGTTACTGTTGCTGCTGTTACTGTGATGCTGTTACTGTGATGCTGTTCCTGTTGCTGCTGTTACTGTTGCTGCTGTTACTGTTGCTGCTGTTACTGTGATGCTGTTACTGTTGTTGTTACTGTTGCTGCTGTTACTGTTATGCTGTTACTGTGATGCTGTTACTGTGATGCTGTTACTGTTGCTGCTGTTACTGTTGCTGCTGTTACTGTGATGCTGTTACTGTTGCTGCTGTTACTGTTGCTGCTGTTACTGTGATGCTGTTACTGTTGCTGCTGTTACTGTTGCTGCTGTTACTGTGATGCTGTTACTGTTGCTGCTGTTACTGTTGCTGCTGTTACTGTGATGCTGTTACTGTGATGCTGTTACTGTTGCTGCTGTTACTGTTGCTGCTGTTACTGTGATGCTGTTACTGTGATGCTGTTACTGTGATGCTGTTACTGTTGATGCTGCTACTTTTGCTGCTGTTACTGTTGCTGCTGTTACTGTGATGCTGTTACTGTTGCTGCTGTTACTGTGATGCTGTTACTGTTGCTGCTGTTATTTTTGCTGCTGTTACTGTTGCTGCTGTTACTGTTGATGTTGTTACTTTTGCTGCTGTTACTGTTGATGTTGTTACTTTTGCTGCTGTTACTGTTGCTGCTGTTACTGTGATGCTGTTACTGTTGCTGCTGTTACTGTGATGCTGTTACTGTTGCTGCTGTTACTGTTGCTGCTGTTACTGTTGCTGCTGTTACTGTGATGCTGTTACTGTGATGCTGTTACTGTGATGCTGTTACTGTTGATGCTGTTACTGTTGCTGCTGTTGCTACTGTTGCTGTTTCTGTTTCTGCTGTTGCTGTTCCTGTTGTTACTGGTCTGTTCCTGTTGCTAGTTTTGCTGCTGTTTCTGTCCCTCTCGGCAACAGACAACAGGCACCTTAACAGACATAAACAGAAGTGCTGTTGTAACAACTAATTGCAACATAATGCACGGACTAGGAGCTATCAGCAGCAGTGCTATCAGCAGCAGTGCTATCAGCAGCAGTGCTACAGGTGGAGTGCTATCAGCAGCAGTGCTACAGGTGGAGTGCTATCAGCAGCAGTGCTATCAGCAGCAGTGCTATCAGCAGCAGTGCTATCAGCAGCAGTGCTACAGGTGGAGTGCTATCAGCAGCAGTGCTACAGGTGGAGAGCTATCAGCAGCAGTGCTATCAGCAGCAGTGCTATCAGCAGCAGTGCTATCAGCAGCAGTGCTATCAGCAGCAGTGCTACAGGTGGAGAGCTATCAGCAGCAGTGCTACAGGTGGAGAGCTATCAGCAGCAGTGCTACAGGTGGAGAGCTATCAGCAGCAGTGCTACAGGTGGAGAGCTATCAGCAGCAGTGCTACGCATCACTGAGATGTAACACAAAGCCAGTGAAAGTGCGGTGCACGGCTATCATCCCACTTTCAGCGCAGAGAATGTGCAGGCTCGATCACCCGTCACTTAACAGTGAAATAACCCACCTGGTATATGCAAGTGGTTCACTGGTTCACTGGTCCACTGAACCACTGGTCCACTGGTTCACAGGTTCACTGGTCCACTGGACCACTGGTCCACTGGTTCACAGGTTCACTGGTCCACTGGACCACTGGTTCACTGGTTCACAAGTTCACTGGTTCACAGGTTC